TTGCCGCGATCATGGATTTCGCTCATCATCATGACGGCCGGATTCTCCACGCTGGGCATTCCCATGACATGGAGGGAGTGGACATCTCCGACGGTGACCCCGGCTTCGCAATACTCCTAACCCTGCTCGCCGGCCTTGCCACCACGATCGGCGCAGCCATTGCGTTCTGTGTCAATACTGACGACAACCGCGTGTTCGCGATTTGCCTGGGCGTGTCTGCTGGGGTCATGGCATATGTGTCCTTCTCAGAGATCTTGGACATGACGAATCAGAGTTTCCAGGACGCAAATCTCTCTGCGCGGAGTGCTTTCACATTCGGGACATTGACTACCTTCGCAGGGATCCTCCTCGCCATGCTGGTGGAGTTTATCGGCATGAAGTGCTTCCACAGGCATGCCGGCGAGATCGTGGTGAGCGACGCTCCCGAGCCGGAAGCGCAGGACATGGCCGGAGAGAAGCCCCTCAGCAAGTCCGAGCGGTTGAACATGTTGCAGATGGCGACATTCTCAGGAATCGCTGTGGCATTGCACAACTTTCCCGAAGGCATCGCAACCTTCATTTCGACAATGGCTGATCCCAGCTTCGGGCCGGCCATGGCTTTCGCCATCGCGATGCACAACATCCCCGAAGGCCTGGCTGTGGCAGCGCCCATCAAGAAGGCGACGGGCTCTAAGTGCAAAGCGTTTTTCTGGGCCTTCGTTTCCGGCCTCTCCGAGCCGCTGGGCGGTCTGTTGGGATGGCTGGTTCTCAAGGACGTACTGGGACCCGCCACCTACGGCATCTTCTACGGCCTCACCGCAGGGATCATGATCCACATCTCCTTCAAGAAGATGCTGCCGACCGCCCTGAAGTACGATCCGAACAATTACTACACGTCCTACTCCTTCTTTGCCGGAATGGCCCTGATGGCAATCTCCCTGATAGCCTTCAGATGGGCTTAGTCATCTGATTTTCCCCACGGCCCACAAACAAGGGTTGTAGAGTATTCTTGAAAGGCATCATTTGTCTGCTCCGAAGGATCGGATAAGTGTCGCCCGTTTTAAGTGGGGTGTATCGGAGCTCGCCAGAGCTCGCCGTGCAGAGCACGTGAGTGCAGGCAAAAGCCTGGAGGGCATTGGACGCATATTCGGTGTGCCTGGACTTGTATAGTAAGGCTCAGGCACGCCCTCGAGGTAGTGGTCACTTCAGTCACAAAAGTTGTTGCGCCATGAAGCAGAGCATTGCTAATTAGAGCTTCTCAGC